TAACATCTACAAAAACAGAGCGGGCAGTAGGGAGAGACAGAGCGCGCGAGAGAGAGAGAGCGAGAGCAAGAGAGAGAGAGGGATACGTTTACACAGCCAGGTATGAGGAATCAGAACATCTATGTTCAAGGAAGAAGTGTTGGATCTGACAGGTGTTTACGACAAACCACGTGAGGTGAGGCAATAAACATTTCTCTTTTGTGGTTGTTGTTGTGATCTTATCTGAAATGAGACAGTGCTGAGATGAAGACTCTCGCAAAAAGATAAACTTGATGTTTCTGTAGGACACGTGTGTGTGTTTATACCGAACGGATGTGGGGATTTGATTTATTTGATTTTTATTCCTATTCAGAGGATGTTAGCTGGCATGTAGGCAGCTGGCAGTATATGTATAGGGCAACACAGAGATAAGCTGTGGCCAGGCATGCTTTTGCATGTCACATGTGAGTTTTAAATGTGGATTATCAAGTTAATGGGTTTTATTTTCTGATTTTGCTGACTTCATACTTCAGTTTCAGATTTGGGTAAATGACAGTAGGGCTTGCTGATATTGCAGTAAACATGTAGGAGTTGTTCCGAATGAGCCACATGAAATTAAGTCTGTGTCTCTGAAAAGACATGAGCCGTGTCCCTAATGAAATCAGTTTACTCTAAACAAGTTGTAAACAAGTTGTAAAAAAGCAAAAAGCAGAGTTTCAGACGACAAGGCAAGAACCCAGTGCCGCTGGGCAAAAATTATATAACCTCTTCTAGTATTTCACTTTGGCAAATTCCCAAATGATTTACCAGACTGCTCTTCGTGGTTTCTTTTTTCAGTTGTTAAATTATTGAACTATAATGGTCCCTCCCCCTACTCACTACATTCTTCTGCCATTCCAGCCAAGATCTTACTCCCTCTCATTGTTGATTTTTGGTACCTTCGTTAGTTCCATGATCAATTCAGGTTCTCTGACCACTGTGTGCACGATTGCTGCTGAACAGAAACATATTACCATTTTATTATTTTCATTAGATAGTCTGGAGTGCAGAATTGAAGAAATTATTTTCATGTGGTAACTGTTAGTAAGCAATGTAGTATGATGAGCTAAAAGAGGTAGCATTACCAAGTAATTGTGGCATGTAGTTTGCAGTCACGCACAGAGTGTTAGCCTGACATCAATCCGCACATCCGTTTGTTATAAACACACGCACGTGTCCTACTGAAACATGGTGACCACAGATTATATCCAACTATTCACATTGCAGGGGACTATTGTAAGTATTACTTGGCAAGCTTATTTTTTTTTAAATCTTTAGGCCTTTCTTCCTTTTATTAACCTCTTGCTAAGTGACAGTTTAACAAATCAAAAATTGTTTGAAAATTTTATTTATTTATTTTTATTTTATTTGTTTGCAAATAAAATGTTGCATTTCACCGGTTCTCTCTGTGCGTTTGTAAGTCAGCAAAAGTGCAAAAAAATGGAGACAAACATCAGTGATTTTTATTTGAATTTTTTTTCCTATTAAATCCTCCCTGACTTTTTATGGCCTATACTCAGTAAAGCCTGGTTATTATGGCTGTAAATGACGGTAGCCAGATGACTAAAACTCTGTCTGTGCTGAACAAACAAAGTCCCCATGGAAACAACACATTTTTATCCTCGAGGGAAATCCATTGAGATGATCAAAAACAATAAAAGGTTCGATCCTCTGAATGGCCAAGTACAGCTGAAACAAAGGCTGCTTTAAATTCATTAACTTGAAGCATGAGAAGACAAACGGTAATGTCATCATTTGAAATAATGGCCTAGTTATGAGTTGATTATGATACAATTATATTATTATATTATTATAAGTAGTTCTTAACGTCACATATTTTACAGGAAAGAAGAAATAATTACATTGTAAGTCAATTTGATTAGTGATTAAATAATAGCGCCCAAATTTTGGAGGAAAGGAGATACAAATTATACCGTAAGTAATTTTAAGTACTGCATAAATATTTTTAAGTACTGCCTAATTTCTTTGTAATTGTGTGAAGAATAAACCACCTTACATCTTAAGAAAATTGTCATTTTTGATAAATTGCACCTTACCTAACTTTCAGGTATTTACTGTAAAAGGAAAGGAGACACTCATTTCCTGTACACTCTTCTTATGTTATGTTATGCTTGAACAGTATTTGTGGAAGAAAAAAATTAATTTAGACTTTGCTCCATCATTATGAGATCTCCAAAGTCTGCAAATGTTGAGACTTATCACATTTACACTAGTCAATTTAAAAGAAAATCAAATCACGGAATATCCATCATGCACATCATCATATGGAGGAACATTTAGGTGAGGGGTGTTGGCTTTTTGTGTGCTTTTTTTAGAAAGAACACTGTTAGCAGAACAGTATGTGAAGAGATTAAAACAAAAAAACAAAAAACAGGGCTTCAGCGTTTTGAAGAGTATTGTTCACAACTGTTGCCTGTGAAGCCAGAAATATGGATCTGACTTTCTTTAATTAATTAATTAAATTACATTAATCTATTTTATTCAACAGGGATGATGCTTTTTAGATAATTTGCGGAAAATTAAAGTGAAATGACAAAAAACAGTCAACTATACATACGTTATAATGATTAAAAAATGTTAAAAAAAAATTGTTAAATTAGAATCTAATTAATTAAAAAAAAATGGTGATTTATTTTACACCAAACTTTGAGGTTTACTGTGAAAAATTCTATTTGGCTAATTTAATTTGATTTGAGCAATTTGGTTTCATTTAGAAGTGTGTACCATAGTGAACCTTTCTGAAGAATGCCGACTGTCAAAGTTTTGATCTACAATGTTTTAGAGATGCCATTCACTATAGGCTATAATAGACTATGGCTGTATCTAGAAATAATAACTTTCTTCCTGAAAATATAATTAAAAAAATAATTGAAAAACTTAATTAGCTCTACCTACATTTATACCTGATTAGTCTGTGTACCTAGCATGTTCCTGAGACAAAACCTCGTGGCTAAATTAATCCCATCTCCTCTCTTCCAAAAATAGGATCTTTGAACACGGTTGTCAAAAAAAAAATTACTCTGTTATCATTACTTATCATTCTATTATTGTTGGAACACAGCCATAATTTCCTCCACCCCAATATAAATGCAATAACGCGATATCTGTTCTTATCATTTTTGCATGTTTGCTGTCGCAGCATGAATTACATTCTGTTGTGAAACCCCTGAAGAGGCTCCGGATTGGTGTCACAAAACAAAATTACCACAACTGTAATCTAAACATGAATGAACAGTTTGTCTTGGTAAACATGTCATAAGGTGGAGGCTCTGGTATCTTACGTTCTGTTTAAACCATGCTCACTAAATATTGCATGTGCCTCTGATGTTTGTCTAAGGCAAAAAAAAAAACAAAAAAACACTAGCGATGAAACAGTCTATAATTGTAGCTATTTTCATGTGTCTAATTTCTATTTTGAATAAATTTAAAAAATGATGCATGGACAACACATGAAACATGACAACATACATTATACAGATGTGATCAAATTAAATTAACTCTTACAGGAAATTGGTTTATGTTGCTTATTATTAAACTATGAGTTGCATCCATCAGCACTGGCTCACGGCAGGGCAGCTGTCAAACAAGCCAAAGAAAAACAGCGCGAGTCTGTTCATTCAGGGGTTTTATATTTTCATACTGTAAAATTTGATGTAAGTCGGGATTTTTTTTCTTTTAAAAGTCCTCCCATGCTTAAAGAGCTTCAATGTTTCTATGTCTTCTTATACCTTTAGACTTATACTATTGTCTTTTATGACTGTTTTTAATATCTTGATATGCATTACGCTGATGGTTGTGCATAATATAGTGCAGCTAGTAAAAATTAGCATCTAAGGACAGTTTTTTTATTTCTATTTGTTGTATATTTTACAGCAGATCTGGCAGTTATGGGAAAATGTCAGTGTGGGTGTCTTTACTTGGGTGCATTTCTGTCCATAGACGGCTCCTCAACTGGATGTATTTGTTTATTTAACAATATAAGGCACAATGCAAGGGTTGTATACATTTCTCTGGTCTAAGTTCTATGAGTCACGGTACATTCAACATGATATTGTGAAAGAAAATGGAAAATGTTATTGTGGAATGCTTTAATATGTGTTGAAAAAATATGTAACTTTACTTAGCAGTGTTACAGATTCCCTGGGAGGTCAAATCCAAAGTCAGTGTAGAGATCAATTTTCTCATTTCTGATTTCAACTGAGAACATTTGGTCTTAGAACTGCATTAGTAGCATGAAAAATCAAAAACCAAATCTTTTATGAAGATTATTTTTTTATTGGATAGTGGAGGAATGAAGAGGAGACAAGAAAGTAGGAAGAGCACGCAGAGAAAGACATGCAGAAAAGGTCCAGAGCTCATGCTGCATTCAGTGTGTAGCATATGATCACCTGTTTAACTATTTTCAGTTTCAGTCAGCCAAAACTGTCAGTATTGCAGTCCACTGTCTTATATTGAATTATTTATATTTTTATGGAAACCTTATTACTTAAAAAACAAATTGAAGTGACACTATTTTATATCTACATATACACACATGCTGTCAGGATTTGTATACAGCCCTGTGCATAGTTTGCTTATTTGTCATTTTCTCAGTGACCATCTGTGGTATGTTGACCTTTAACAGTATTGGACTTGGACTTTTTCATTAAATGACAGAGAAATAAACATGTTTCCTTTTTATAGCTTTTTAAGTAACCCCATTGTTTTTGTTTTTCACCAGGGTCATGTTTACTTCAGAGGCTGTGGCAATGTGAAACAAGAGAAGACTATGAAGGGCTTTCCATACAGAGACAAACTTTTAAACCAGACTGCTTCTATGCACATAGATACCATGGAAAAGACAGTCTGGGGGAACTGACAACAGCTGAGAAACTTTGGAGATAAGTGGATGAGGCATTTTCAATATTTACTACTGAGGTACTGGCAGTAGCACTGTTCCAGTGCCAGAGAAGGAGTGCATCATGATCGCCACAGCACTGCGCTGGCTCATCCTGGTGTTTTTCATCATTCTAACCATTGGTGGTAACGTGCTAGTGTGCTTGGCTGTAGGAATGAGCCGTCGACTATGGAGAATTGCTAACTGCTTCGTGGTTTCGCTGGCAGTGACAGATCTCCTCCTTGGCCTGCTGGTGCTTCCCTTGTCCGCCACTGTGGAGCTGCGCAGTGGGGAATGGCCATTTGGAGGAGCCTTGTGCAACATCTACATTTCACTAGACGTCATGCTGTGCACGGCCTCCATCCTGACCCTCCTGGCAATCAGTGTGGACCGATACCTTGCTATTTCAGCACCCCTTAGCCACTCCCGGAGAGTTACACCTCTAAGGGTGACATTGGCTATCATCACCATCTGGGCTACGTCACTAACTGTGTCCGTTCTGCCTATCCACTTGGGGTGGAACACAGCGGACTACAGGGTCCAAAACTTAGACTGGGGCATGGGGGATGATGAAAAAGAGGGCTACTACTGTCAGTTTGGATGGAATAACAACTATGTTCTTCTTTATGCCTTTGGCTCATTTTACCTGCCTCTGATGGTTATGTGTGGAATGTATCTTTGCATATTCAGGATGGCACGAGAACAGGTCAGTGTTTATTATGATTTTGTCAAAGGTCATTACTTCAAGGCTTACATTTCTTTTTGAAGATGTCTGGCCAACTGCTATAGAAATACATATATGAATAAAGATGTTTTTTTGTTTTTTCGGTGGACATTTAAATGGGATTTATTTAAATTCATATTGTCTTGTAATTGTAAATCCTTGACTATCAAATCAGTGACTTGGTTAAGTCCCAAGATCTCATTATCTTTGTCTCCTTCTCTTAACCAATCTTTTCAGGCTAGGCGAATTCGTGCCACCCTGCCATCATTTGCACGTACAGCAACTGCAGTGATGGCCCGAGAGCACAAAGCTACAGTGACCCTGGCTGCTTTACTTGGGGCTTTTGTCATCTGTTGGTTCCCTTACTTCACCTACTTCACCTGGATTGGAATGAAGGAAAAGACAAACCCGCCTAATACACTTCACTCCGTAGTCCTGTGGTTGGGTTATTTTAACTCTACCCTTAATCCAATACTTTATCCAGCCTTTAACAGGGATTTCCACAGAGCCTACAGAGAGCTGCTTCACTGCAAAAGACTAGATCAAAGAAAACTGCACCTTAACGGTGTATCGGTAAATAAGCGATTGACCTTTACTAATGGAAAAAGACTTTCTCAACAGTGTGAGGGACAGATAGACATACAAGAAAAAGACACAGAGGAGAAGACCCTCACGCTACAAATGGGAAATAGTATTCCTGATGAGCCAAGATGAAATGCTATGGCAATTCCAGGCACAGTACAATAAATGTTACATAAAAGTTTTATTAATGATTAATAACACTGTTATTGGAAAATAACATAAATCTTTACATGTTTATTTTAAGTTGCACATTTTTCTTTGGTTATAATAGTGTTGGACTAAGACAGAAGTTTGAACTGCATGTTCTTAACTGCAGTCTTCAGTGTAGTGAAGTTGATCTGACTCGAATAAATAGATGACTCAGTAAGCTTCCCAGAAAGCTGCATGGAGACATGTGTAGTTAAATGTTTGCAAATTGTTTAATTTTTGAACCCTCCAGCCCTGCTATTCAAAGTAAATAAGTGACCAGCAAGTTCATTTGATATGTACAATATGTGTAGGAACCCAAATAGGACAAACAGAAGGACTTCCTGGACACTTTTACAGATTAACTGCAGTTGAACAAGATATCCTTTTTGAAAAAATATGAGTTAAGCTATGATAGCCAGCTCTTTTCTTTTATCTTAATGGACATGAGCTACATCATTATAGCTATGCTGGCTTTATGTATTATAAATACATCAACAGATGAGATCACTTATCTGCCATTATAGACAGATGTGAAACTTGTGCACAGTGGTGATATAGACTACTGTAAAAATTTAATCTACGTAAATCTAAGCAAAATGTATGATTTCTGTTTACATTTTTAATTTATAATGAAATTAGCACAGCAAGAGATTAATGCATTCAGTGTATTTATGAAACATTCTTATTTCATGTTATATTTGTTATTTTTATTCCATAAAAGTACTTTTATTATTTACCTCCTAACTCTACCAAATCAAACATTAGTCAAAAGTAAACTGTGGCATGAATGTTGTGAATATTTTACAGACAGTGTGCTATATACTGAATAATGCTCTAACATACCTGGTTTTATTTGTGTCTTTGAATGTATGAAGAAGATTGTCAGTGGGAACTTAATTCAACAAAACTCATTAACAAGGCAAGCTGGACCTTACTGCACCAAACACAGCTCAGAGTGAGTGTTGCATGTACAGCTTCCTGCACGTAGGTGCTGTGGGAGGTTTCATTGGCGTTTCAGAAGGACAAATGAGCTTCCAGCAGGAGAAACATAAACAGAGACTCATGAACATTTAATAAATGAAGTTTCTTTCCTGAACATTACATCTGTTTCTATGCATTATATTAAACTGTTTATTTATTACTGCAACTGCAGAATATGCAGCTTTCTCTTTGTCTTTTCAAAATCTGACCACTTGAAGCAAGTTTCCTGAGATTAACCCTTGTCCTGTAAGTGAGAGATATGCTCTTGTGAATGTTGATTATAATCAATATTTGTTTGCTTTGTGTGTTTAATTGGAAAATGATAGCTGAAAACATCATTCATCAGAAAAAAGAATGAACTGATCCTTATTTTTTAAGCTCTGATATGTATCTGTATGTCTACTGTATATTGCATTGCTTAAAAAATACATATTATAAGTAAGTACAAATAACTTATGCAAACAACAGGTTCCATTCTTTAACAGGATATACAAATCTAACTTAGTCTGGGTTGTCTGTGCTGCAGATTAACTAAACCAGACTGAATATAAAGGTCAGAAAGACAATCAAGATACAAGAGTGCTGTCTGTAGTCATCGGCATACATGATGGGACCAAATTGTAATTTTTCATTGTGATTAAGCTGATGAAAAAGCCGATGCGTCATCATGGCCTTTATGAAAACGCATCGTTGGCTCAGAAGTGCACTAATCCAAAATTTTACTTGCCTCACTATTTATTTTAGGCCTGATACATTTGAAACCTTTTATAGTCTCAGATGTGCAGTCCTTTATTTTCACTCTGGTTATCTCTGTTTACCTGTGCATCGTCAGTTCCAGCATTACACCTCTAGGGCCGAGGATAAATAAAATTAAATCAGCTGTCCAAAGAGCAGCACTTTAATCTAACTGTCAATAGCTGGATTATTATAGCTTTGGAGTGTGTCTCTGTGCAAACGGTTATTTGTCCAACACCGCACATACATGTCACATCACATACGCGTAACAGCAGGTCTGCTGTTGAGGATTGCCATTTCAGCATCAGTTATCTTTGTAAATAAAATTCTCTTTTACCAGTGTTTAAGATGAACCGCTGGGTTAAGGGCATACAGTAAAAGAAAAGAAAAGAAAGAAAGAAAGAAAGAAAGAAAGAAAGAAAGAAAGAAATGTGTGTCATGTCAGTTTCACTTTGGCACAAAATGTTAAATCTCATTTGTCTGAAACTATGCAAAAACCATCATATGAAAGTATGAAATTCTTTAATAAGATTGAGTTGTTGTTAATTGCAGTTATTTTTTGGTAATGATCTTTCAAAACAAAAGTCTATAACTAAAGTAAACAATTTAATATGCTGTGATTCTAGCTTGAAGTGGAATCTTGAGTAAACTGTTAGTTTTAGTTTTAGATTTCTTCCTGTTGAAAGTGAGTTTTTCCCTACTGCTTGCTCACAGGGGATGATCTTATTGTTGGGAATTTATTCTCTGTAATACTGTAGGGCATTTACCTTACAGAATAAAGTGCCTTGAGGTGACTGCTATTGTGATTTGGAGCTACACAAATAAACTCGAATTTAGCCAAATTGCTGCCATCAAGCAAGATGTAGTTTTTTGAACCCATCATTTACAGAAGTGGAACCATGTGTCAACACAAGCTTCTGAATGAGCTGATATTACATTACATTGCCAAAGGATCAGTCTCTAATTAATCCACTATTGGATTAGTTGGGCCAAAAATAATCCTATAGTGGATTAATTCTTTCCATAGGAGTATATTTCATAGCTTCACCCTGAGTGGCTGAGCAGGCATGGGAATAGCTTTCAGAGATGATTCACCAAGATCAACTGTTTTTTTTTTTTGTTTGTTTGTGTTTTTTCTGGATGCCCATATATCAGTGAAAATATCAGTGAACAAACCATGTATTTCCAGCAGGTGGCAGTGTTAGCCAGCTTTCTCTCTGATGACTTGTTTAACATCTGAAATGTATGTGCTTTTCAAGGCCTTAGTCTTTCTCCATGTGGGATGTATTGCTTAAAACAAACATAAAACAAAGCAAACAAGCAGAAATCAATAATTATGGATTATTACAATAACAGTAAATCAAGGGTCTGCTGATTGTGGTTATATCTCTGCAGTAACTAATATCAACATATTAAAAAGAGCACTCTGACAGCATAATGCATTGGACGATGAACAGCAGTCAGAGGCAGAGTTTAGCAGGTCTTTAGGATTCATTAGAGACCACTCGAGTCATTAAGATCAGAACCCTTCTGGAATGTACCCAATGTGCAGCTTTGGGATTAGAAAGAAACAAAGTGAGTTTTTTATTATTATGATTATTGTTATTTAATTAAGATCCGAATTGAAGGTTATGTCTCAGTCCACACTGACTCTCCTTAGGTCAAAGATAAGAAAAGAGAACTAATAGAAATGATGTCAGCTCATAAATACAGTTTTTTGTTTTGTTTTGTTTTTTCTGTGAGTCTAAAAATTCAAAAGCGTTCTCTAATTTTCACATAGTCTGTGCCCAGTCGCTGCCATTTGTTCATTTATTTGGTATCTATCTGTTTATTGTCTTGGGAATGTGATAAGAGCATTTAAATATCCTCATGCATTATGCAACGGAGTAGGAGGAGAAGGTGGGTGGTGAGGTGAAGAAAAAAATAACTTAAAATAAGATTCATTTTCTGGTTTCTGTGCCATCATGAAAGTCTGCATACACTTGCTAATACTGCCTTTGCATGTGATTGGAGGCTGTTGGCTGGTGTTTGTTAAGTCGCACGTCCTAATTGTCCCCAGTAGACCCAAACAGGACAGCAGCTGCCATGGATAATTAAACAAATTTCTTCCGCAGGCTGCACTGGGAGTTGACGGAGGTTTTACAATTGTTTTAGAATTAACACATAAAAGTGAAAGAACTACTCTACGCTATACGCTTCCGATAACAACCGCACTCTGCGTCTGGAGCCTAATCTGGAGATATTTTGCGTTTGCACTGAAAAGGTTGTAACACGTGTTCGTGCTGTGCCTTCCTCTCTGATGCAGTACAGGCTTTCTTTGTGGAGTCAGCACTTCTGTTCTACCTACATAAGTGTCAGCTGCAGCAGAGGAAGTGCACAGATTTGCAGCTCTGTGGAAGAGCCGGAGTAACTGTACAACTTTACAGGTTTTGCTTTTAGGTTTAGAAGTACTGAAAATGGGATAAAGGCATGTTATTAATAAAGTTGTGTTTTCTTACGCTATATCAACATTCTTTTCTTACTGTAGCAGCTTACACAAGATCGTCTTTCTTTATGTTTCTGGTTTCTGACTGACTTGTGCGTTGACAGAGCAAAAAATTAATTAATTAATTAATTTTTCTATGTATACTCCATTTGCCATCGTGGGCCTGTGTGTATTTTTGTATGCCGGTCTAGCTTTTGGCTCTGCTTCTTATCTCAGCTCCATGGCTTCCCACTGTTCTTGTCACTTCGCATCGTTCCATGCGCAGATGACTGCTAAGCTAAACTCCTGTAGAGATCCAGGAGCTGGTTTGTCTGAGCATGCTCAGTGCGGGGGCTTGGAAGACTTAACATCTGAGTGTGGGAGGCAGCACACTGCTGCTGCAGGGGTCAGCTGTGCGGATGCCTGCACCCAACAGCAGTTGTTTTCATACTGACAGCACTGAACAGATAACCCCGAGGAAATGGCAAAAAATCTGTAGCTTCCCTCGCCAGGATCATCAGAATGAGTGCAGGAAAGAGCACCGGGGGTTCGACTTTCAAGCAATTTGATTCAAAATATGCACTATTTGAAAAAGCCTTCTTTGTGCTTGAGGAATGTGCTTCACTATGGCAACAATATTTTCTGCCAATATGTGACAAAGTATTGCATCAGTTCATTTATTCAGATTCATACATCACCATGGATACTATGAACAAACCAGTTCTCCTCTCTTCAACTACCTTTGGCTTCTTTTTAGTGATCT